TGAGCTATACTAGGTGGTGCCCGCGGGCTCCTTGAGAGCTATTCCTACCAGGTTGGTCAATGGTTATAAGTCAGACAAACTCAGTCTCCTGGTCCTCCAGGTTGGGGGTTTGAAATGGGATGGCGTTCATTTCTGTAAAACTAAATCATTGCCACCTCCCCGTTGCCTTACAGACCGGCTTTTGAGCTAAAGGCTTTGGTTGACGGCCAAATCGTTTTCCTGTCTACGTCTGGGTGCCTTGGCAGTATCTCAGCCCACATACAACCATGACTAGTTCCTCAAACGTTAATCGCATCTTGCATCAGCCGTGTTTCAGCTTATCAAGGGTCGTCGTATCTGTTGTTGAGTTGACATGGAGAAATGAATTCTCGGATGACTAAACTCGATGCCGTCTCGCCTTCCAGGCTGGAGTCCAAGTGACTCGCCTTGTGCTTGGCTCGAGACTTTACAGGACATGGCTCGCAACCGACACTAGTGGCGTGTCTGCTGCCGTCTCCTAGTCGGACTGCCTGTTTAAAGGATTTGGTGCTAGGTTTTCTGCGGGCTAATGGCTGATTATGATGCGTGGCAGTGAAAGCCGCAAGGAAGCTGTCGCATCGATGATGCCTTATCTTTGCACGATAGCCAGCTGTCTCTGATGGTGTGTTGTTGACAAGGTGTAGGTGCCTTGACCCTTAATGTTTGCTTAAGGCATTAACGTTTTCCGGTAGGTTCCCCTTTCTTTCCGTCTTCTTATTCTTCGTTCCGTAGGTAGTTATGGTTGTATGGCAGTGAAGCATCAGTTCAAATGGCTGCTGTACTGCTGTTGATGACGATTTACCAGTCGTTAGTGCTTTTATCCCCAGGATCATGTCTTTGCAGGCGTGTCTCGCGTTGTCGAGAAGAAAACATTTATTTGTTTAAGTACAATGGTTCAAACTAAGATGAATATGAGGATCGGTGTCCGCCATTTCCACGATTCCATCACTGCACAACGTTACAGCACTCCGCCGTAAAAGATCAAATCCCTGTACCTTAAACTCGGTAAAATGAACGGATCTCATTACGAGAATTACTTCTCGACTTGTCTGAAAATATGCGTCATAATAACAATGCTAATAATAACAATACGAAGAACACGATCCAGACAAAATGCGTAGCCCAATTTGGACAGATAATCCAGTGCTGCATCATGAAGTGCACCATCAAACTTCAAGTACTGTAAGGTTTTCGCGCTCATTTAGTGAGCCCACCAGACATAAGTGATGTATCGCAGGTGCCAGTGGCCAAAAACGATTGACCTTCCGTTGATGTCAACGAGCGGTGTAATACTGATGGCCCATCTGCGCTGCCGCTCCTCACCATGACGGATGAGGCTTGCATGCGGTCATTGTTAGTGCTTAAACCAACACAGGTGATGCAACTAGCAGGATGCATAAAACATTGAACCAGTTCGAGTAGTTGGTTGATGGCTGTGAGAAGTGGCGACATAGCCTGGCCCTTGTGTTTCGAATATGCGAAGTGCGTATTAAAATGTGCAACACCCAAAGCCAAGTTTGCATAGGAACTGGCTTAAGTATATATACTAGCAACTGTCTTTACAATAGACATAGAGCCATCAAGAATCATGAAATGGTCACAAAGTGAGAAACAAGCGTTTTTCACAAGTCGTTGTTTTATCTGTCAGGTTAGTGATTACGTCTATAAAAAGAAAAATCAATGCATAAATTCATGCAAATCTTCCATTGTCCCCAATTCCATGCCATGTCCTCAAGAGTCTATAACCGGCGATATTTTTTGTCTGACTCCCCAGCCCGGAAACCGTACGTGACCAACAACAGCTAGACTCTGGGGATTAGCGCTTTGATGTTTTGCCCCCATGTAGTAGGTTGACCACCGCGTGATTTCTTCCAGTGCGGCCCAGAGCGAACCAATAGAGTGCGCCGCGCTGAACCCTCGCACGGCATGCGTGGGATGTGACCTAGCCACCTTAGTTGGCGCAACGGTATCTGCTTGTCGAGAGGAAGGCCTGTATTACCTAAGACGTTTAACATCTCGTAGTTGATTATGTGGTGTTCCCACTACATACGAGCTATCCTCCGCAGATAACCGTTGTCAAAGGCTGAAATCCGACGCAAGTCATTTATACAGACCGAATAGGACTCCTTCCGTACAACAGTACTGCGCGAACATAGACATTGTAGACCTTGCCCTTTACTGAGAGTCGTATATCACGACGATACCACAGATTCGCAAAAAATGGTCGGGCCTTGGTAAAACGAAGAGAAACCTATCCTTCAATGGCACCATCAGCAGAAACGCAGTTCCCAAATCAGATGAGACTATCCACATACTCAAGCTACGCCGCTTCAAGAATCAGCACTGAGGTAGGTGGATGCCAAACCTGAAGTAGAACTTTGCCATACCTGGTGGCTATAATCGCCAGGCAGCTTAGAATGACCTGCATAATCTATGGGTTGCCACCGAGCAAAGCAATATCATCAGCGTAGTCCAAATCAGTCAAAAGGTTGCCTCAAAGAAACCCTATGCGAGAACCCTGAGGACCATCCAGAGCGTCTAATAGAACATCTCTGTCCCACACCGTTAGTGAAGGCAAAAGGTGAAGAGAACTTTATCAGAGATATTGTTGTACAAAGCTGGGAGGATGGCAATATACTTTCGTGTACCCCATTCTTCCGCAGACAACGCCATAAAGCAGACCGATCGACCAAGTCGAACCCACCTCGGATGTACAAAAAGGCGACGATAAAGGTGGCGGTACTCGAAGAGTTGGCGGAGCGTAAACATGTCCGCACGCCCTTGACCGGAGAGAAAACTAGCATGTTCTTCACGGGAGTGTAGTTCTCGAATCGGTGTAGCCTGTGGAGTAGAATGAATGTTAGCAATTTGAAGACGACGGATAGTAAGCTGATTCCACTGTGGCTGGTAGATGGAGTACGAGCACTTGGTTTGAAGATCGGTACGGTAATGGACTTACTGCAAGATAATGGAACCTTCTTTTCACACCAAATCTTGGAGTACAAAGCCTGTAACTGGTTGACAATTGCTTCTCCACCGTGCTTGAACAGCTCCGGAGGAAGTCCGCCTGAACCATCAGCCTTGAATCGCCTCAAGGCAGACCTCCGCGTCGGTGGGTGGCACTAATGTAACGTTCTGAGGAGTGCAATTTGGCATACTTGTTAGACTGCCAAAAGGAGTAGGTCAACGGAATTGAGTGGAAATGCTCATCCCAGTGGTTCATGCGTCTACGCAAATTAGTGAGCCATCAACCTCGATAATACCATCACTGAAGTTAAGCTTTCTGTGACCAGTAGTCCAGGTGATATGGGAAAGCGTGCGAAAATTTTCAGAGATCTGCTGTCCCCATGCTTGAGGCGCGATGAGACCAACACGTTTCGACATTGTTACGCAGACTCTACTTAAGTTGTTGGCCGAAATTGCGACCGACTTCGCTGCTGTTTGAATCAGGTGGGAAAGCTAGGAGAAAGCAATATAATTCCAAAGAGAGAGCATAGATGCAGTCTCTCATCGGAGGAAAAATAATTCCACAGGATGATTGATTAAAAAACAATGCTTTCTGCGAGAACGCTGATGTTCGACGTCTGGATATGGAGTTACTGCGAATGGATCTGATGAGGAGAATTGGTAGACTAGTTGGATAAGAGGGTTAGCTAGCCTGTTGGTATCCAGCGCACGATGCTTTGGTTTCGAGGATACACCAAGACGCATACAGATGTCCTGGAAGACCATAGCGTGATCTGAGTCGGTAGATAGGCCAAATCGATCTGCGATCCCGGACACTACCTTGCCATCTGAAGATGATTGCAACATGGTCGAATTCAGAAATGAAACTATGCGGTACTTAAATTCACACTGAATAATGCCAATGTACAGAGAAGTCCACCAAGAAAGAATCTTGACAACACAGCCACGGTAGAAGCAAACGGATGCCGAGCTAGAGGACCCCATCTGGGAAGACGATAAGCACCAACTAGGCACAAATTTTATCGAGGTTATTCATGCACTTTCGTCAGGACGTAGACTGGAAACTTCGGGGTTTCGTGCCACTATGCTTAATAGTGGCAAACAATGCACATCGAGGTAACCGACTTGCGGGTACACGGAGTATCTGATCGAAGTAACGGAGGTAATTCGAGTTCAACAGGCTCTTCTTTGAGGCATCGGAGGGCATGTCGCTAAACATCAAAGGATGAACTTTAGTGTTTATTTCTGCATTTTCCATTCAGATACCAGAAGCTCTTTGTTTACATTCAAGTAGTATTTTATGCATCTGGAGAGCGAACAGATGCCATTGGCAAAATCCAAACACTAGGTAGAAAGCAAAGCTGCAGGTTTAATGCGTTGAAAGAAAGTCATCAGCAGTACGCCGGGCACACATTACCTACGCTTCGCTGCCACGCGACCACCACCGGTCGCGCGTGGGCTGAGTATACCGCGATGACGCTCGCCTCTACGTGGACTCGAACCAGTATCCTAACGATTGCAAGCCAGGCGTGCAATCCTTTCGGCAACTGGCCAAGTTAGTAGTAATTTGAGTGATGAAAACAAAGAATACCCCTGGAATTATAAGAACAACCCTCAACAGCCGAAACTTGTAGAGTACGCTACTCAACAGTCTAACTCGATGTGCTGCGTCTAGAATCCCTATAACTAACAGTCAAAAAGAGAATTAAAGTTATTCGCGGAATAAATAATCGGCGGCATGTGCAAGCCACACACATGTAAGGATAGTGGGCTCAGAAACGCTAAGTCATAAAGGAACAGAAGCACTGGGAGAAAGTTCCACCTATACATAGAACAGACCCAGGAAGTCATGCGACATATTAGATACGCAAAATACGAACAAACCAAAGATGACGGAGGTGAATTACGCCATGCAGAATTTCTCTTGGGCAGAGGTATGGTCAAGGTAATGTAAGAGAACTTCAAAGAAATAAACAAAAGGTTGATTCCAAACACACCAAGTTTGAAATGTGTACCTCGGATTCCATCTGCTGGAGTCACACAGATAAGAAAATCTTGGCTCGCTCTGTGATCGATGCATTGTGCAGGTGTCGAACAGTCGAAACGGAGTCAAGCGGGATTCAACAAAACGGTGGTCCGCATGTGAATTGGTACCATACCGGAGTGAGTGCGCTGATAGGGTATCGGTGACGAAAACAGTGCGGCTCTGGTCGGCACTCGCTCGACAGAAACAGTGCAGAGGTGCGAGTGATAAAGCAAAACGAGGAATCCAGCCAGACTTCCACTCTTGATCTGGTTTTGTAGACGTAAAAAACATGGGAGAAGTTGAGTCAGTAGCAGTGAAAATAGCAAACAGAAACTTCCGAAAACGAATGAGTAATTCACTCTCACCAGAAACATCCGTAAATGAGAAATTTGGGATCAGGTACCGAAGGCGAACAGGCTCTGCAGAAGTTAAAAAGGTAACGACTTCAGTGTCGTGTGAAAGTAACTTATCATTTGGTTAGAAACATATATCTAACAAAATTGTGCCGAAGGCAAGAGCTTAAACTAGACAATTGGAATGAATTGGATACTCAGAATGAAACAAAGGATAATCAAACAAACCGAGAATGGTGTCTGAGTTTTCGATGTTCGAAGAGAGTTCTTCAAACCGAGAAAGAACCAGATCGCACCAAAATCGAATCATATTAGCAAGACAAAAGAGTCCAGAAGCATGGCGCTTTAGTGTTAAATGCACGTTACGAGTGAAGGTAAATGAGGGATCTGAAATGAAACAGAAGATAGGCTAAGAACGAAATGGATTCCTTTTAAGGTACTGAGCAAGAGTTTAATATTTTGTAAGTCAAAGACAAAATAAAAACAAAAAAGCGAGCATGGGTACCTCGATAATAACTGCAAATAAGGATGGGAATAGCTATAATACAAAATTAGAGCGTGAGAAATGAATTAGCACAGTTGTGCACATCATTGGATAAAATAAACGTTTTCGGTGCGAAAAGATACTGCAACTGCGACTGAGCTATCACATGAGAGTAGAGTAGGGAAATACTGCCGCGGGTTAGCGGAAAATTACTAGATCAAAAGTCCAATGTCAAACAGATAAACATTATCATCATCGCAGCCATTGAGGCACAATACATGAGGTGTTCCTCACTACCAATTAACGGGGAAAATGGCGGTGACGATAGCGAGCATAGTAGTTCATAGCATGGTAGAGTTAAAACAACAAGCCTTCATACGGATGCTTAGAACATGGGCAATTTGATGGTTTCATGTTGCCAGTACACTGCGTACGATTTGCCATATGAAGAAAATAGAACTGAGTGCAACAATACCGATGAATCCATAAATGCACCTTTTAAGTGACTATCCATATCCGAAAAGAAACGGTAATTATCAACATATACAGGTGTTTTATCCAGCTAAGCAAAGTACAATAGCACGTCCAAAACTAATGGGATTCATGCATTCGCCGGATGAGTGGATGTTCTACAGACAAGACAAGCGAAAACAAGAGACTATCAGATGTAACAGGAGTGATCCGATAACATTTGGGAAGTATGACTGGGTGAACGAAAATCTCGTAAGCAAGCCGACCAAGGTATTGTAATATAATCAGTTAGCTAGTAGCAATATCAATATTACTCCAACATCAGCAGAAAAGTTGGATAGATGAGGAAAATCCGTACAAGCCAGAGAGGTGTACCTGATGTACTTAAAGCACAGTACCATAGACACGCGTGTGAATGCGGATCTTAACGTGTCGAAAACATTGGTAATTGGCAGATAAAAACAGAGCTAAAAGGAAAACTTAATACTTAACATTCACTTCATCGGTACGTGGAAAAAAGTATTGATCTAGAGAAGGCGATGGCTGCATGCCTGTGTGGTGGGAAATGCTTAGTCACAGTGGGCGACCTGCGGCACCACATACGCGACCGGTGGACAGTTGCTGCCGAAGAGACCATCGGGCGCACAAACTGTAAGCGGCCCGATTAGTTTGATGAGAAAAATGTGATGATGGGCGCATTGGTGTCTGAGAAGAATGCAACATTTACTGCACATGTGGCAGAACCCAGTGACGTGGGGAAGAGTAGTCAGTTTCAAAAACTTCGACGGCGACTGACTTGAGAGCTCCGTCGCATTAAAAAGGCATGGTGGACGGAGAAAGCGGAGCAGATGGAATGTTACGCTGAACGCTACGGACACAAGAAGATTATTCAGATAGACGTTGAAATGAGTTAACAAAGTAAGTATTAACAAAACAGAGCAAACCGAAAACCTGAAATAAAGAAACTCAGCACAAAAGCACGCGGTTAGTAAATCAAATGTAGCGTACCTGCTAACACTGCACCGGTTCTGCTTGCGTTCTCAGTAGCACCCGTCGTCCACTTCGACGCTGGCCGCGAGTGGCCTCGCTTGTGGATTAGGCCTGCCTGACACAGGCATTCGCGACCGCATGTGCTACAGCACCATGCGCTCGAGCTCGATGTAGTGCACACCATCGGCGCCTGTCTCCTCCGCGCCTGCCGTTTCTACTCCGCATGCACGATGGCTTTCTCTTGCACCTTGGCAACTACCTTAGTGATCAGATCGCACCATGCACGCCGATCAACCGCTTTCGATTCCCAATACCTGAAATCAACATTGGAACGTGCTAGGTTCACTTTGATCATGTTTTGGTCTCCCCCACGCCACTTCGTAACACTCAGCTGACCATATAACAGATACTTCGGTATCCGCGTCGAATCCATACGCCACACATGACCGAGCCACCTCAAGTGTCTCAGCAAAAGTATACAGTCCATTGCATACATTCACTTCGACGCAACACCCCTGTCGCACCAACTGATGCGCAGAATCCGTCGTAGACACCGGTGATGAGCCCGCTCTCACATCTCGCCGGTACACCGTCCACGTTTCGCTGCCGTATGGAAGAACGGACAGCACCATGGATTTGTACACCATCAGCTTCGTGCCGACCGTAAGCTGGTGGTTGTTGCATACTCGGTACTCAAGCTTCCCGAAAGCCGCCGCTGCCCTCGATAAGAGGACACGAAGCTCACAGTGTATTTGTTGGTCAGTCGAAACCACACTCCCAAGGTAGCAGAAGCAGGAGGTGGTTTCCAATACTTCAGCACCAATGCTGATTCGCGGCAATAATGAATATTGCACCTCCGGTGAAGGCCGAAAGTGGCAGACAGTTTTGCTTGTGTTGATGGTGAGCCCGAATTGGGCGCTGTCGAAGCCAGGGCACTAGTCACGTGCCGCAACTCACCCGCGCTGTGTGCAAACAACGCACGATCGTCAGCAAACAGCAACATACAACCAGTTGTCTCATAGACTAGAGTTCTCGCGCTGAAAAGACTGATGTTCAGCAACGCACATTATTACGGTGCTTTTCACGAACACCGTAATCACAAGCCTCATCAAACACATACGAGATTACTAGCAGAAGGCAAATCCTCATGCGGTAAGTCTAATAAACAACATGGATATTGGGTCTCTTCGCGGTCTCTGGAACTTATGGATGCTCGCCGGCAAATCCCGGCTAGAAGCGAACACAATGAAACTCGCAAAGAGCTCCGGTCACAACTCCATGCTAGCCTGAAGAGAGACCGCGAATCTTGGTGGTCACTTCGTGCGTCAAAGATGGAAGTGGCCGCTGCCCTTGTCAACCATCGTAAGTTATTCCGTCTGGTACGGGAAACGGGTAGCAGGAGACCTGGTGTTAGTGAATCTATACGTGACGAGAGTGGCCAGGATATCCACAATTTGTTTGTTGTGTTGTGTTTTATTTTACTGTTTCTGTACTTTCGTTTGAATCCCATGGTTTCTGATGGCATTATGTCTATTCGTAGACTTTTGCAAATATATATTTCCACAATTTGTAAAGACGTTTAGAGCGTTCAGCCAGAATTGTACGATTCTTCGCCGGCCAGTGATCGCTCTGCTCCGTGGGCTGTCCCTTTCGATGCACCCTCTCGCTCAGAAGTCAAACGTGAGATCGGACTGTTGCAGTTGAACAAAGCCGCGGGACCAGATGATCTACATCCAGCCCTCTTCAAATTCGGCGGCTCTGCTCTCGTTCATGATTTACATGAATTACTAGTGAAACTGTAGGAGCAGGAGACTGTCCCAACCGACTGGAGCCGCTCCGTTATTGCTCCCATCTTCAAAGGAGGCTCGCGTTCGGAATGCGGTAACCATAGAGGAATCAATCTGATCTCCATCGGCTCCAAATTACGCGCCTCCATAATTCTTCACAGACTGACTGGCGCTTGTGAAATCCAGATTGGTGAGGAGCAAGCTAGGTTTCGTCGGTGACGTGGCTACATCCACCACATCTTCATCTTGCGTCAGTTGTTGGAGCATCGTCGCACATACTGGCGGCCCACCGTAATCGTGTTCCTCGACATCAAACGTGCCTTCGACTCGGCTGATCGATGTGCGCTTTGGAACTGCTTACTCAGGAAAGGTGTGCCCGAGAAATATGTAAATATTATCCGAGCATTATACGCGCG